ACACCTTGTAATTCAAACTGGAACACTGATGATCTGGTCTATCAGATTAACACCAATAGGAAATCCCAGATGTGGTGCATTGCCATTTTCTTTCTTTCTCTTTGCATGGCTCAAACTTCTCTTTTGCTGTTTGTCAGCCTTCATTTATGCTTTCAGTATGTTATGTGGTTTTCTGATGGCCCAGTCTCTCTGTGTAGCTCAACCCACTAACCTAAGTACTGAAGATAAGTGAGTTAACTGTAAAGATTCCATTCCACAATTGATATCTAACCTTCTGTCCTTTTTTTTTTCTTTCAGTACAATAGCTACATTGAGTACACCAAGCAGTTGCCCTTGAATCCTGCCCCAGAGATCTTTGGGATGAATGCCAATGCTGATATCACTAAAGATCAGTCTGAAACACAACTGCTATTTGATAATATTCTTCTTACACTGGTAGGTGATCAGCAAAAATGTAATGAGGCGCATGAAAGATGCCTCCTACACAGTGCATGCTAGTGTTGTTGTTGGGTTTCTTTTTTATACTGTATTTGGTGCATATAAAATATGCTGTTAGGATTGGCAGTTACTGTGATAGGCAATGCTTAATTGATATTTAATTTTGTGGAAGTTAATTAGCCATACAGTATGAGTTCACATAATTATTTAGTGGAATTATAATCAATTGTAGAAGAGTAGTAAAGGTATTCAGCTAAATGAGCTTTTCAGATTAGTTAATTTTATTTTTGTGCAGTCTGGTAGTAAGTTTGCAACTTGAGAGAGATGAAGCAACTGGCTTAAAAAGCTGAGAAACCTAAGGCAGTCTGGTTCAGGGATCACCACAACAAGATACAGGGACAGAGAAAGCCCATGGGATTTCTGCTCCTACTGGTGCTATGGTCCCATGCAGCTAAGCACTACTTCCAAAGAGACTTTTCCAGTCCATGTGCCACATACACAACAGTAATGAATAAATACTTGTTAAAGGGCTAGCACATATATGTGTGCACCAGCAAATAGGTCTTAGGGAAATAAGGTATACGTAATACCCAGGATTCTGGCGCAGTACAAATATAGTATCTTTTGCCTTTATTTAAACTTGATGATATGCACCACATTATAAAACACATAAAACAGTAGGCTCATTCCAGTAGAAAATGACTCAGAACCAAACAAATAAGGTAAAATACACAAGGAGCAGCTCTTCGGTGTTTAATTAAACAGCCTCTCTCAATAGCCTCAGAGTCAGATCAGCAACTACACTTATAGTAATAGCCTGGCAATAGTTCAGTAGTTCTAGATTGGAATTGCCATAATTCAAGAGCATGTTGATATACCAGAACAGAGAGAAGAAGAAAAAACAACAACAATTTTACATTATACTTGTAGTGACCTGGACTTGGAAATCAGGAAGAAGTCATAGGTTGTGATAGAGCGAGTTTGTACACCAGAGTTTGTTATCCTGATAAAGCCACAGGCCCTTCATATATACCTACAAATTTAGCATAGCCTTAAAATGAAACAGAGGTATGAGGAATGCTATTATGAATATTTATTTTTTAGTAGCTCATTGGGACCTTAAGAGAACATCTTGTATAATTCAAATCTGGTCAATTATCCTCTTTTTCCAGGAAAGTATGCCTCCTACCTCTCAGCAAAGAGGTGGTTGTCTGTATTTGTGGAAAGAGGCATCATTGTTAGACATGCCCAGTGTGTTGCTTTATTGTACATGTATATTATTACAAGGGGGCATCTGTGTCAGGGGAAGGGGAGTTGTTATTGGGAAGTGACAGCAATGTTTTCTCTTTTTAAAGAGAACCAATAAAACAATCCTCCCCCTACCCCCCAAAAAGGACATCACCAATTTTACATGCCAAACAAGTGGTCATCCAGCCCTGAAGAACTCTAGTAAGGGAGAGCCCATCATCTTCTAAGTCATCCCATTTTATTTTTATAATTCCAGTTATTAGCAAGGTTATTCTTACCTGGAATGCAGAAATTTGCCTCTTTGCAAGTTTCACTGGTTTGTTGTGGTTCTTCCCCCAATCTTGTTACGATTCAAAACTGGATAATTTGGTTTTTTTTTTTTTTGAAACTTATAAAAGAGGAGCATCTAGGTGGCGCAGTGGATAGAGTCAGTTCAAACCTGACCTCAGACACTTGACACTAGCTGTGTGACCCTGGGCAAGTCACTTCTCCCCCCCCCAAAAAAAAACAAAAATAAATAAATAAAATGTATAAAAGAGAAGCTACTCTAAAAACGATGAAAAAGATAAATGTACAGATGATTCCTTGAAAACAGATCTAACTTAACCTTCATTGCTATAGTAATTTAGTAAAGAAAAAGCTGCATGTAGAGGTTTTCAAATGACATTTGCAAAAACTATTTCAGAAAAGATAAGAGAAAGCTAACATAAATGATTTCTTGAATGTTTATAATTTAATAACAACCAAATAACATCCTATTGGCTTCATTTCTCAATATCAGGCCCTGACAGATATTGTAATTCCACAATTCATATAATATCAATTCCATTTTCTGTGATTGAGAGCATATTTGGGGGATGGGGAATTTGTGCTAGTGAAATACACATTTCAAATGTTAATATTATTATTATTTTTAAGAATCTTAAAGCCAGATATGTGAGAATTTCCTAGTTCAAAGTTCTTATAGAAGAGAATTTGGTAGTTATTTTCATATCTTCACAAGCACTTTCTACCATGTAACTCCACGTAGCTGAAAAGGTATATATTTGTTTGACATTTGGAGAACACGCAATTAATACATATAGGTGTCCTAAAAATTGTGATTCTTTTCAAACTGCCAAAGATGACAAAAGGTGAAAGTGGCAAATGCTGGAGGGGTTGTAGGAAGATAGACCATTTATATCAATTTCCAGTAAATCTACAATGTTGTATGTGCTGCAAAGGTTTTTTTTTCCTATTTAACCATCTTTTCTAATTTGAGGGGCATTGATTTTCAATTTTTTATAAACAAAATTATCAATTTTATCTCCCATAATCACCTCTACTGCTTATTTAGTTAAGAATTCACATTCTCCTAGCCATCGTTGTACAAATTATCTCCTTCCATTCTCTAATTTTTTTAATGATATAAACTTTTAAATTTAGTTCATGTATTCATTTTGTGCTTATTGTGGTTTGTGGTATAAGGTATTAATCTAAATAAAATTTCTGCCATGCTGCTTTCCAGTTTTCGCAGCAATTCTTGCCAAATAAGGAGCCCTTACCACAGTAGTTATTGTCCTTGAGTTAAAATACTGGACTATTATGTTTGATTACTTCTAGATCTTGATTAAATAATCTGTTCCAGTGATCAACTTTTCTATTTTTTAATCAGTATCAAAGTTTAGATTATTGCTGCTCTGTAGTATTGTTTGAAATCTTGTAATGCTGGGTCCTTTTCATGCCTAATTTTCTTTTTGTTTGTTTGTTTCCTTAATGTCCTTGACCTTTTTTTCCACCAGGTGAATTTTATTTCTATTTTCACTCATTCTGTAAGCCCTTGGTTATTTGATATAAATCTAAATAGGAAGATTTTCCTGATTTGAACTAATCTAAATTTGCCATTTTTCAGCTTTTACCTGTTGCTGCTGGTTCTGTAGCCTAGAGCCAGATAAAACATATCTAATCCCTTTTCTACACGGCATCCATCCCTTCAAATACTTGAGCATTGCTATCATGCCTCCCCCTGAATTTTTTCTTCTTTAAGCTAAACACATTCACTTCCTTCAACTTCATCTGATCTTCACGTGACATAACTCAAGGTCCTTCACCATGATTGCCCTTCTTTGGATACCACAGCTTACCAATGTCCTTCTTAAACCATGGCACCTGGAACTGAATACTGTCCTCTAGATGTGCTGTGTGACCAAGAGAGAGTGCAGGGAGATTCTCTGAGAAGAGTATAGCTATAAAACTTTATTGACTGTACCCTTTTCCTTAGACTGTGGTGGAGACACACTGACATATTTTTACTGTTCATCTTTCCCAGATTCTATACAAACCAAAAAAATAATGAAAGTTTTTGTCATTAAAACATTATCTTGTATTGTAATTGATTGTTATAGCTTACTTTGCATTAGCTATATATTATATTATTGTCTTCTTGACAGTATATATGAAGACATCATAGTCTTCCACAGCACCTTTATAATATCCTATTGGGGAGAGGGAAAGGCCAGTATTTTTAAAGGAATTATGTGACAGAGAATCCTAATGTTGTGCTATGGCATTCTGTATTTATGGGGGATCCTTTATCCCAAGATCAAAAGAAAATTTCCAAATAAGTCTCAATCTCAGACATTCTTTAGACATGCTCAGGAATGTTTAACATCTTCCCTAATCTGAATTAATAGAATTACATTGTTCACAGTGTAGTCAGCTATAGTGTACTTTGCTTTGGTCAGAAAATATTTGAAGAATTGTGTTCAGTTCTGGGCATTGCATTTTAGAATAGGTATTCATAGGTGTGGCCCAGATGAGGGTTGCTTGGGTAGGGAAGAGACTTCTTACTATGAGATCAGTTCAGAAACTGAAAAGGTTTTAGAAGAAAAGATATAGCAGATGACTGGCACTTTGATGATACAGCACTTTGAGGTTTGCAAAGCTGTGCCTATTTCTTTTGCTTCTCACAACAACCCTTTGAGATAGGTACTATTATTATCCTTGTTTTTTCAGAGGAAGAAACTGAACCTGGGAGAGGTTAAGTGACTTGCCCAGAGATTACGTTGTTGTTGTTGTTGTTCTTTGTAGGCAGGGCTGTGCAAAGTCATCAGCCTCACTCTCTCCTCCAGAGTCACTGGAGTCTAGTACCAAGACATTGGCCAGGATGACTGGTGATAGCCCTGGATGCGGTGGGAGATTTTGGCCTTTTTAAGCTGTCTTTCCCAGGTCTCATTTTTGTCTGAGGCAATACCCATTCAGTATCTATAGGCTAAGTAAGAATTGAGGCAAAAAGATGGCCTAGTTTGCCTTCACAAAAGAAATAGCCAATAAGTATCTGAGGCAGGATTTGAACTTAGATCATCCTGACTATAGGTCCAGTGCCCTTAGTCACAGTATCACATTTTCAAGTATATGAAGGGTTATCATTTGAATAAGGAACTGGACATTTTCTTTTTGGATGACTGGGTATAGAGTGTAGAACTAGTCTCAGGTAGAAGTTAAAGGTTAAAAGTTAAAGAAGTTAAAACAGAAAGAAAAATTCCCTAACAAATGGAACCATCCACAATTCCTTAGGATATAATGATTTCTCCATTATTGGAGGTGTTTGAATAAAGGCTGTAACACCACTTGATAAGGATGTTGCCGATGGTACTCATTTGGAGAGAGGTTGGAATTGATGATGACTTCTGTGGTTCTTTTCAACTCTTAAGATTTTATAAACAGACATAGAAAGAGACCATAAACTGTAAAGTAGAACCAGAAATAAAATACAAGTTTCCCCGGATGGATAAAATGTGATAAGAACATATAGAAACATTTTTTGGTTTGTATTTTAACACTTGCATGTATATTAGCCAGAAGCAGTATGTTGAAGTGATCTGAGAATTAGGATAACCTGAGCTGAGGCCCTGTAGCCTTCACAGATGGGCTTTGTGACTCTGGGTAAGTCACTAAACCTTTCAGTGCCCCCCAGGCAACTGAATTTATCAATTGCAAAACAGTTGCCGATCTGCATTTGTGGAGGAAGTTTCCTCAGTGGGTCGCTGTCTACACTGATGAAACTGCAAGTCTGGAACTCAAGTAACTTAGAGGGTTCTAAATTGCAAAACAGGGTTACATTGCATGTAATATGTGCAATATATATAATATGTAATAAAGCTAAAAGGGAGTTTCTACCTTATTGCTGATAATATTACTCATTCACATCTGCTTCTTTTCCACTTCCAGAGAAGTGTTAACAGTGTGCCCATTATCTGTTGAAGAAAGGAAGAAAAACAAACTCTCTTTATTGCCCACCTGATTCATTTTGATATCCAGTAAGCTTCATGATATTTTAGCAAATAAACCTTCTTGCTGGTTTTTGAAATTCAGTCTCCTTTATATGGAGTCTTTTAGTCTTTATGTGCTCAACTGTTTACCACCACCTGACTATCCCCATACCTAAGTAGCCTTGTCTCTTGCTACACTTCACATATTGGCTCTGTCTTCCACTTCTTTCCCCATTCCCCTTTTGGTGTTAATTGATGCTCTTTAAAAAAAAAAAATCATAGGGGAAGCTAGGTGACACAGTGAGTAGAGCTCTGACCTTGGAGTCAGGAGGACCTGAGTTCAAATCCAGCCTCAGACATTAAACACTTACTAGCTGTATGACCTTGGGCAAGTCACTTAACCCTGATTGCCTCACCAAAAAACAACAAAAAAATCAATACCACATCACAGTAATGTCTCTTCAACCACTCAAACCCTCCTTTGTAATAAAGTATAGTTAAGTGAAACAAATCAACACATTGGCTATATTCTGCACCTATATAGTCTACCACCTCTCTACCAGGAAGATAGAGGCATGTCTCACCATCAGTCATCTGATTTCATGATTGGTCACTGTATTAATCAGCATTCCAGGGTTTTTCATTGTTGTTTTCCTTTACATTCTCTACTTCTCCTGACCTATTTGGGGCTGAGTTGACTCTTGACTCGGAATCATTGGCTAGGTCTTTTTCTTCACCAAGTTGATCACTCCTTTCCTTCGAATTGTTCAAAATTGACATCCCCTACCATGGAGCCTCTCTAAAGTGACCATGTGATGGGTAAGAAAGTGTAAATGTTCTATGTACAAACTATAGATGTTTTCCTTGAGAATGTTTTGATTCAGCTATTCTTGGCCTTTCCCTAGGACGCCTGATTGATAAACTTGTGTCTGTCATTTATAGTCTCGTTCCTCAGGCGCTGGTGCGAAATCATCAGATGAGGTAGTAAATGAGGTGGCTGGAGACATCTTAGGCAAGCTTCCCTCAGATTTTGACATTGAGGCTGCAATGAGGAAATACCCAACAACTTATACACAAAGTATGAATACTGTGCTTGTCCAAGAAATGGGACGGTTCAACAAGTTACTACATACCATAAGAGAATCATGTATTAACATCCAGAAAGCCATCAAGGTAAGATGCTGTTCCCTCCCAAAAGTCAATCATCATGTTTTACCTTTTTTTTTTAAAGCCTGGAATATAATCTGAACCACTTCTCTATGAAAATCAATCACTGGGCATACAAAGGTAAAAATGAAAGAGTCCTTACCCACATTCTATCAGGCACATGCAAAATATATATAAAATATATACAAAATAAATACAACATAATTTGGGGGAAGGGAAGGCACTAAAAGCTGGGGGAATCTGTAAAGGTCAAATATAGGAAATGATACTTAATCTGAGCTTTGAAGGAAGCCAGGAATTGTCAGAAGCAGGGCTGAGTATGGGACTGCATTACAGGTATGGGGAAAGCTTGTACAGAGGCAGCGGGACAGGATGTGTGATGGAGTGTATCCTCAAGGCCTGGAAAGTAGGTTGCAAAGGGATTTCAGCACTAAAGACGTTTATACTTGATCCATAGGCAATAAGGAGTCCCTGGATTTTATTGAGCAGGGGAGTGATAGGAATAGACCTTTGCAACAGATAGAGCACTTTGGCAGATGAATTAGAGAAGGGAGATTGTGAGGCAGGGAGAACAATTAGATGGCTAGTGTAATAGTGGAGGCAAGAGGTGAAGAAAGCCTGAAGATGGTTGTGATGTGAGGGGAGAGAAGGTGATGGAGACAAGAGATGCTTTGGGGGTGGAATCTATGAGACTTAGCAACTGATTGCTAAGTTATTGGATATGTAGGATGCAGGATTGCTAAGTTATTATTGGACATGTAGGATGCAGGAGAGTGAGGAGGTCATTTCTATACACCGATTTTGCTCCCATCTCATATACCATATTCATATATTCAGATTTTAAATATTTTCTCAGTCTTCCCTTTGGCTTAAGAAGAAAACCGTGAAAATATTTTCCCAATGTAATTAACTACCCCTTCCTCTTGTCTTCTTCTCCTAAACTTTCTTCTATAGCAACTGGCAGAGGTTTCTTGGGGGTTTTGACAACACTAACTGGCAGAAGAGGCTTAATCCTTGCAAAAACAAGAGACTAAATTAAGAAAATAGAAACTAGCTTTATTATTGATTGGATTAGGAGAAAGAGAATTCACTTCTTTGTCTCCACCTGGTGGCCTCTCTCCTTGTTTTCCTCCTTACTTTGGTCCACCTGCTACCTTTCTGTTAAAATAACTAGGGTTTATGTGGTTGTTCATGCCAAGAGGGCCCAGCAGTGAACTGTTTTAACTACCAATACACAAGCGCATACTGAACATACCAATTTGTATGGAGGATACCTCCAGCTTTTCAAGCAGTTATCAGAGTAGTGGGCTAGAGTTATAGAAAATGACTGATCCTTTTTCTCTTGGATCAGAAATGATTAATGGCCAAACTTCAACTTGGAGGGAAATAAAACCTAAAATCTAACCTCAACTGCTTTGCACATTCTTTCTCCTCCTTCCCTCCCTCTCTATCTTATTCATTAACATATAAACTGACTTAAACATGCTAGTATCTGCCCAAAGAGGGTCTCCATTATAACTCATTGCTTTATAAGCTTCCTGTAGAGAAGTATTTTGTCTTTTTTTTTTTCATGTCTCTTGAGATCATAGCTTCATACTCTTAAAGCTAGAAGGGACCTTAGAGGCCATATAGTATAACTCCCTCATTTAACAAATGATGAAAATGAGGCCCAAGTTAGTTAAACGACTTACCTAGGTCATGCAAGCCTAAAGTGGTACAACCAGGATATAATGTTAGCATATTATGGGCATAGCTACTAATGGACTGATTTTAATGAAAGGCTTTTCACTCTAAGTAGCTGTTGTAAGGAAATATTCAAGACAGTTTCCAGATGTAGAATGAGACATACATTTTTGGACACGGCCAATGTAGAAATTTGCTTTGCTCCACTCTGCACATTTGTTATAATTATTTTTTTCTTTCACACTTGTATGTGAGGTGGCAGAAGTGGGAGGGAAAGAAAATAAATACTTATAATTAAAAATATACATTTAATATAAAATAAATTAATAAAACTAAAATGTAAAGCGATTGCCATTATCTAGAACTAAAAGGGAAAAGAGCTTTAGGTGATTTATAGTCTATGAATAGCAAGAAGAAAATAATAGCTAATATTTATGTAACCATTTANAATTGCCATTATCTAGAACTAAAAGGGAAAAGAGCTTTAAGTGATTTATAGTCTATGAATAGCAAGAAGAAAATAATAGCTAATATTTATGTAACCATTTAAGGCTTATAAAATACTTTACACATTTATATCTTGTTTGAGCTTCACAATTACCCTGTGAAGTAGTGACTATATTCATTTTACAGATGAGGAAACTGATATGAAAAGGGTTAAGTGAATTGCCCAGTATCAAACATCTTGTAGGTTCTGAGACAGGATACAAATTCACATCTAACTGACACCAGGCCCACCTCTCTCTCCACAACATCCCCTACCAAGTTCTATTTAATTTTGCTAACAAACATTTTTTAAGCTCCTAGTAATATACCAGCCACTGTGCTAAGGTCAAAGACACAAATTCAAAATTAAATCAATCTCTGCCTTCAGTGAAGGAGCTTACATTCTAAGAGGTATATATACATATACACCGTAAGCTGGAATCTCTAGCAACTAAGAGGGTCAGGAAACATCTCTTGTAGGATCTGAACTTTAAAGGAAGCTAAGAGATCCTACAAGGCTGATGTGAGCAGAGAGTCCATTCCAGTCATGGGGGACAGCCTGTGCCAAGTCTGGAAGATGAGAAATGGAATGTTCTTTCCCAGCAACTAGGCCAGTTTCAATGGAATGGAGTGCAGGGGGAGAAATAATAGGCAGTAAGCCAGGAAGGGTAGGCTGGATACAGATTACAAAGGGCTTTAAATGTCCAACAGAAGAGTTTGTATTTTATCCTAGAGGCAATTAGGGAGTCACTGCAACTTTTTGATTGAGGGACAGGGAAAACATGGTCAGATCTGTGCTTTAGGAATATTGTTTTGGCATCTCTGTGATGGATAGTTTCGAGAAGGGGGAGACTGAAAGCCAGTAATCTAATTAGGAAGCTTTTGGAATAGTCTGATAGTTTTGGAATAGCTGATCAAGGATTTAAGTGCAATGGTACAGTTCCTGTTGATCTACAGAAAGACTAGGGTGGTAGCCAGATGAGTAGAAAGAAGAGGGAGGATGGGCGAGATGTTACAGAGGTAAAATCCACCAGACTTAACAATTGATTGATGATGGGAAGTGAGGAAGAGGGACTTGCCAAGGGCAGCTTTGGGGTGCTAGACCTTGAGGGTGAAAGGAAGAATGGTAGTTCCCTTAACAAAAATAGGGAAATAAGGAAGAAGGGTAGATTTTAGGGAAAATATAGTAAGGTATGTTTTAAATATGTGGTATTTGAGATCGTTTTGGAACATCCAATGTCCAGGCAGTTACTGATGTTCCAAATCAATACTCTTATGATCCTGTGATACAGGACTGAAACTCAGGAAAGCTGACTATATAGGATATATAAGTTTTGCAAAAATTCACCTGTTCTACCTCCCCCCATTCAACATAGGGGTGTCTGGGACTGTATTCCCACAACCACGCTCTCTTTAACTCGCTCTTTTTAAATTCTTTCACATTCTTATTATCCATGATACCATCAATAACCTTTTTCTCTTCTTCCTCCTCTCTCCTCTTTTCCCCAGACTTCTCAGTCCATTTGTATCATTTAGTGGTTTGAAAGCAAGAGTAATTTGCTTTGGTTATTTCCCTTACCATGATTTTCTTTATATTCCTCAAGGGATCTGTGTTCTCCTCAATGATGTAGTAAACTCACTCCAAGATGGACATTAGATTACAAGCTACCCTGTGTGACTCATATATACAAAAAAAAAAAGGTTTTTTATTTGTATGATTACTTCCTTCACATGCCCAAACTAAAACCCAGTCACAAAGGAAATCAAAGAAAGTGCAGACAGAGTAAATTATTCAAGGTAATATAGTCCAGAAACTTAGTGAGATGTTCCTGAAGGTTCCAAATGAGCATATCTGTGGGGAGACAGAAGTTTGGCAGCAGACCAGGAGAAAGAGTGCTAAATGAGTTGTTCTAATTTTTTTTTCAACACACCATTGTTTCCTTACTTTTCCATTCTGATGCATTATAACATCTTTTTTAATGGTAATTTTAATTTATTTTTTGTTTTCAACATTTATTTCCACAAGATTTTGAGTTCCAA